TTTGGGCTATTTGGAAGGTTTGGATGATTTTAAGGAATTGTGTAACTGAATGCCATTATGTTTAATTATCATATACATTATGTATAGGCACCACACACTTCTAACAGAGAAGAAGGATGATGTAAATAGAAAGACATTGAACTGGGCACTGTTAACTGCCGTTAATTGACTCATGATTTTGCATAAGTAATTTTATCTCTGAGTTTTCTTTTCAAATTAAGATATGGAGGGCTGGGAGGTTAGGGACAGGGAACGGGTGGGCGGGCTAGATTGGTAAGGTTCATTCCATTGCTAAAATACTATGCTTCTTTCTGGAACTTCTTTGAAGCAGGATCTATTGTTTTTTTTGTTGCAATCGGGGTGGAGTGTAGCTATTTTCACTTAGAAAAATACACTGGGGTCAGAGATGCAGCTGATTTTATTGTCAAGTCTCTCTGGGGCTCAGAGGATGGTCTCCGAGTGACTAAGAGAGGTATTGGTCTCCCTCCTCCCTCCTCGTTCAGAGTGTCATTTAGCTGTTAGGCTGCTTTATTGAATTTTGTTTCTACATTCCTTGTAAAAAAAAATAACCAGGAGATAAAATAATGAAATCTTTATAGCATGTAAAGAGTTTACTAAAGGTAATTCAGGGCTTAATAATCTACTTCAAAAGGGTGTTTCTCAAAGTGTTGTCCTTGATGGGCTATATCAGCGTCATGTGCAAATTCCCAGGCCCCACCCCAGACCCACTGTTCTGGAAACTATGGATGGGGCCCAGCCATCGGTGCTTTCAGAAGCCCTGCAAGGGATTCCGTCGCACACGGTTTGAGAGTCACTGCCCTGATGCTGATGTAGCTAATGGGTGGGAAGCTTTCATTGGATTGCCTGGAGACTGGAAAGGTAGGACTTTCTAAAAGTGGAATTGAGAAATTCACTGGGTCCACAGAATAGCTCAGGTGGAGGCCATGAAGCAGGAAGTTCTCCCCATTTAAACTGCAAGTCTTCATGTTCTATTCCTGGGCCCGCGTGTGGGTGGAGTTCAGGCCAAGACCCAGGCTCGCAGAGAGCCCCGGTTCTTCCCATTTCCAGCTCCTTTCTGCCCAGGACGAAGTGTTTGTTGGATTCAAGGTCCACTTCTGACAGGCCTTTGTCCAGCTGTGAGACCTATGGGAAATGATTTCATCCCTGAGCTATTCATTCCACTTGGTTTCCTCATCTTTGGAACTAATACCTCCTGCAAAGCATAGTGCCATTTATGCGCCTCACAGATAGTAGCTACTCAATAAACACCAGTTCCCTTGCTCCCTGGGTACCTACGGCTGATCCTCGGTTGGTACAGAACGGCACTGGCCACAGTCATTCTGACTGATCCATGTCCATGCTGGGCTGGTTGTTAATTCTTTCACATTTAAGCCCTGCTTGTAGGAATGTAAGCACACTTTCATATAGAATGGCATGGATGGTCTTACAAGCACGTACCTGGGGTAAGTTTAAAGTGTATTTAAACAGATGAAAAATAGTGTTCATGTTTAAATAGTTGACAAAAAAGACATTGCAAAAAGAATTTTTTCCCCACTTGCTCAGATTTAAATTTTGGAAATATGACTATTGCATAGTGATAACCTCTAGCAAGATCTTTTGCTGACATTGCTGTAGGAATCTTTGTTAAATGAACCGCCACTGACCATGGTGCTGTGATGCATTCTGAGAAAACTGGTTGGCCGTGCCTGGGTCTGGGGGCCTTTCCTAAGCAGCTGTGGCGCCCAGAATTGACCCATAGTCCCAACGAGGTGCTGGGTGGGTGCTGTGCCACAGCCCTCCAAGGGCTGGGTGCCCCGTGGTTACACTGAAGTGCACTGGACGAGACTCACTGGATGTGCGTGGAGAGCCCTTCGAGGTCCTGGAAAACTAGTCTCCATAGGTTCCTTTCAGCAGGATATTGTTATACTGATAATTTGCATTTGCCACCTTGACAACTTTCTCAAATATAAAATCTGCTGCATTAAACTCTTCGATTTTTCACCCTCAGTTCTCACAGTGAATTCTAAAAGATCACCATTGCTATGCCCATGAACATATCACTTAAAACTCCAGTTCTGCCCCTGTGTAGCATCTGCTGGTTATGTACTTTGAAATTTCCTCACCAAATATGAAGAAATATCTAAAGTAATTAGCTATCTTTCATGTAACCAGGTGTAGTTTTACACAAAGATCAGTGTTCTGTCAGTTAAAGCAAACTATATAAACTAGAACATCAGAGGAACGAATTCCCTATGGCCCATTTCCTCCGGGGCACCAGGTTTCATCCTTCCCTTGGTTTTCTCTCAACGTGGGCTTGTGTGGAGGCACTCACTTCCACTAGTGGAAACAGTGTGACACATCTCATTTGTGTTTCCTTCATGCTCATACAGCTTATTTTCCAAATTTAGCTACTGCTATTTACTCAGATCTTACATTTATGATATGTATATTTAATATTTAAAATATTGTGTTTTAAAGTTCATGAGCTAACATTTTTCAGATGCCTATTTCAAAAGAAATAAAAGAAGGCAAATTCTCCTCTTTTAAAAAAAATCATACGTGCTCTTAAGGTAGTTGGAGCACATCCAGATGAATAATGAAAAATAAATTTTTTTGAAGCAATATATTCGCAGGTATTAAAGAAGAATTTGCAAACATGAACGATGCTCAAGGGACAGTAACTAGAAAAATGAACCAAAAGGCTTCTGGGAGGCATTGAAACTTATTTTGGGTTTTGATAAAGACAATTTTGAATTAGAGAAAAGTTGTGAGGGAATATGTTAGACAAAGGGGATAACTGACTTTTGTTTAGGGGAAGAAAAACAGACTTTATTGCAGATAGATGGAGAATCATTAAGACAACTGGCTGATTTCTTCTTATGCTGTTAAGATTTAAGATAGCAGGAAAATATTTTAGCAAGGAATCTATTATGTTTATCCCTCACTTCTTCCTTCTGATTTATTGAAAATCCTACCTACATTTCCACAAAACTAGGCCCAAAATGCTCTATCTAATATTGACTGTTTAAAAAAAAATTTCCCCCTAAATTTTACTTGCTAAATAATTTTTTACTTTCTTTTTGTAAATTACACCAAAGAATTGTAGACCAGACAAAGTTTGCATACTCACTATCTACCATCTTTTTTGTTTGTTTGTTTGTTTGTTTGTTTTGTCCTCAAAAGTGAAACAAGCTTCCTTCTGAAAAATTTTATTGCAATCACAAATTGCTGTTTATGGTCATTTTAGAAATGAAATCTCATAATCTCAAGTTAACATCGACATTTCATAAGTGCTGCCAAGTCAGGGCTGGGGAACGGAAACGGACATCTCATCGGGTGCTCTGAAGTGAAGGCATCCTTTTTCTGCTTGTTATTGACTGAGAGATGGATGGAGTTAAGCAGTGACATATTTCAATGATGTGGAGCAAAGGTTGCTTCCTGTTTTGTTTTAGGGTTTGTTTCCCTCTCCTCTCAATGAAGGCCATGTTTTCTGACACTGTCCAATCCTTTTGCTCAGTGATTCCCATTGAAAGGGCAGGGTGTGAGGGCCTCTGCGGGTCTTTCCATTTACAATGTGCCCTGGAAAAGGGGTGGGGGAGGTGGCTCATTAGTGGCAGGAGCAGACTAGGAGGGGATCTGTTTTCTATTTTCTTCTCTAGACAGAACTCATTTGGATGGAAAGGGTTTTATTGTTGTCATCATCATCATCATCCTTATTACGTGTGGTGTATTTTCCTACACATTTCTCTCAAGTGTTAGGTGAAATTGTTGGTGAGGAGAATTAAATATTAAGTGCCATTTTATTTTAATGAGTAAAATCAGAAAGAAAAAAAAAATGTCCAAGTACTTTAAAGCAGTTAATTTTCCTTCTTAAGCTTAAAAAGCAAAACTCGAAGGTTTTGTCTGCAGGGCAAAGGAAATAACTTTAAAATTTTTTTTTTCTTGCTTCTGGTGGTCTACTTGCAATTATTCTTACCATTTCTTCTTTTTTAAATGAAAGGCAATTTCCTTCCATCCAATTATTCAAAATGCAGACCACTGTAGTCAGGAGCTCTGGGTTAAAGCTCCACCAAGTGCCACACGGGTCGGGTCCAAGTTTTCTGCGACTTGGACATTTAAAGTGACATTGCTAAGTCTTTCCCCTTCATGTCTGACTTTCTGCAGAGCTCTGGGGATCCCAGAGGTACAGCGGTAGTTGCGTTACCGGGGAGATCGAGGCTAGGCAGGTTTCTAGCTTGGTAACTGGGGAGACTCCTCCGTTGGAAATTAGGGTGGGCTCTTCAGGAAGGGGCCGGAGGCTCTTTTTTGGAGCCAGTCAGGGTGGCTCCGCACTGGGGGTGGGGAAGAAGCGTAGGTCTCAAGTCAGAGCAGTCTTGGGTTATTGCGTCCTTAGTTCTCAAGGCTCCCCTCCCTCCGCTTCCAACCCACAGACCTTCTCTCCGCGGATCCGCTACTTCCTGGGAAGGGGCAGGCGTCGGAGGGCTGGGTCTGCTCCGGGGGCGGAGCTGCCTCTCGGCCGGGAGGTAGGCAAGCGGAGACCCGCAGGTCCCGGGCGCAGACCGCCCGTCGAGGCTCCTCCAGCTCGTCCCTCCCGCCAGCCGCGGTCGCTGCAGCCGCCGCGCTCGCGGCTTAAAGTGGATCTTTTGGCTCAGCCTACAGGCTTGCAAACTCTTACTGCACCCCCCCCCCCCCATTAGGAGACTTTCCCCTTTGGTTTTAACTCCCTTTCCTCTCCTGCCCCCTCTCCGCCCCATCCTCCTCATTTTGGAGAATTTCATGCTTCTTTTAGCACCTTTTTGTCATCCAGGGAAGTGACACCCCAGAGCGCCGACTACCTCAGTTGAATTCTACTTTTGTTTGCATTTCTCTCGCGCTTCCTTTTGTTTTCCTCTTATCTGATTCATCCGCGACGCCTGATGTTTCTGCCAGAGGGAACGAGAAATAAATAGCTGCTGCTGCCCTAGAAGGTTTAGACGGGAAAGGGCAGCCAGAGCGGCGGCGGCGGCGGCGGCTGGAGCTCGGCGGAGCTCGTGGGACCCCATTGGGGGAATTTGATCCTAGGAAGCTGTGCGATTGCCGGGGGAGGAGAAGCTCCCCGGTCCTTGTGTCCAGTTCCAGGGGGGAGGAGGAGACGGCGGAGCGGGCCTCTCGGCGTCCTCGGCGCTGCTGCCCCCTGCCCCCTCCTGCCGGGATCATGGTCTGCGGCGGCCCGGGAGGGCTGCTGGCGCTGCGGGCCGGGCTGCTGGCCCTGGCTGCGCTCTGCCTGCTCCGCGCGCCCGGAGCCCGGGCTGCAGCCTGTGAGCCCGTCCGCATCCCCCTGTGCAAGTCCCTGCCCTGGAACATGACCAAGATGCCCAACCACCTGCACCACAGCACGCAGGCCAACGCCATCCTGGCCATCGAGCAGTTCGAAGGTCTGCTGGGCACCCACTGTAGCCCCGACCTGCTCTTCTTCCTCTGTGCGATGTACGCGCCCATCTGCACCATTGACTTCCAGCACGAGCCCATCAAGCCCTGCAAGTCTGTGTGCGAGCGGGCCCGGCAGGGCTGTGAGCCCATCCTCATCAAGTACCGCCACTCGTGGCCGGAGAGCCTGGCTTGCGAGGAGCTGCCAGTTTACGACCGCGGCGTGTGCATCTCTCCCGAAGCAATCGTCACTGCGGACGGAGCGGGTGAGTGCGGACACGGCCGAGCCTCCCCCTCTGCTGTAGACTAGCTCACTTTTCACTTCGGTGTTACTAGCCTTTCCTCTCTAATCCTGTCTTTGCCCTTCGGGTCACTTCTTAGTCTTTCACCACCCTTCCCATCTGATGCACTGTTTTCCCATAGGTGATGTGTTTCTCCAAAACACCCTGTTTATTCCACTCCCAACACACTTCAACTCAACACTGACCCTTCACTTTTCCACTCTTTGCATGTGGAAGTAACCAGATCTTGTATAGTGATTCTCTTTTCTTATTTTATTTGTTTTCAATCAGATAGTTCTTGCCCAGTTCTCTTGCTTTCTCAATCATCTGTTTTCTTGAGCCAATGTTTTAGATGCTTGTCAAGATTGTATGGTGGAAACAGAAAACTGAAGCACCGTTTTCTTCTAATCATTAAAAATGCCAAGATAATTTCAGTCAACTTACTCTGACCCACAGATGTTAGTGGTATGTGTTTGCTCAAAATCCAATTTGAGCAATTACCTTCACCTTAAATTTCCCTCTCCTTTCAATGAGATAAATTGTTCTCCCATTCCAGACTGAACAGCTGTGAAACACTGCTAGGCACTGCTAATTAGCTTCTGTGACTTGCTCCAGCCACAGAACTGGCCAAGGGAAATTGCTGGGCGCTTTTCACATTCCCACATGCCTCCAAGTCATTTTGTAAATGACATATGGATGAAAGGAGTTATATTTAAGGCCTGTTATCATCACACACTCATGTAATGTTATTTTTAATCTCACTTCTTATGCCACTCTTATGTTCTGCAAATAAATTGTCTTTAGTACCTTATTTCATGCCCTTTCTCTGTGTGTACATCAACCACACATTCATTTCAATCTTTCCCTACCATAAAACTTTATTGCTGTTCTACATTTAATAGAATCAACCACTCGTTGTTTTCTTACTTGTGTTTGGTCTCATTATGACAGTCATAACTCTTAAGACCTCAACTAAGCCTAGTTCATTATTCTAACTCAGTATCACTCCTACCAATTAATCCAAACTCAAATTTCACCATCCGTATACTTGAAAAATAAACCCAATCTTTTATGATTGGTCCTCTTTCATACCCTTCCCAGATCAGCTCTGTTCTTGGATGTGAGAACTTGATTGCCTCCTTCTGTGTTCATTTCTTGGACATCAACTTTTTCTTTTGCTTCTCAAGGTGCTCAGCCTAAGCTCATGCCCTCAGTCCATTTCCAGGTAATAGTTCTTGGTTGTCAGGGAACTGGCTTGAAAAAATTGCTTTTTGTGCACATTACCCACTTAATATAAAGTGAGTGGGGAAGGGGAAAGTATTTGTACACACAGCCACAAAAACAAAACGGAACTGAAAGATTTCAAGAGCTTTTTTGATAGTTACCTTACTTAGTGTATCACTCTTTGAATATACCTATTGTCTTCTTGATTTCAATCAAGAACCAAGAGCTGGTTGTATAAAATAATCAGAAAGAAATGAATCGGTTATCAATCTTTGGGCTAAAAGAGCGCTCTTGAGCCTTTGCACTCAGTACTGTCACAGACTGCAGACTCTGGAAGAGCTCTGTGGTTGCTGCCCTGACCTGGCAGGAACTTAGAATCAGTTAAATGCTGATGCTCCTCTCAGGCCAAGGGCTAGGAATGAGGTGCCCATGGTTCACGCAGAAATGCAGTCCTCCCTTAAAGGAGAAGACTTGCTCTGAAACCTTTCAGATTTGGCCCTCAAACGAGAGAGGTTTGGCAAGGTTAATGGCTCTCAAAAGCCATCGTCAATATGGATGGGAAGCCGTTTCCTTTAGTGTCCCCGAGTTACCTATCATTGTGGACCAAACACAGAACAATTGCCTCATTGAAGCACTCAAAGAAATGGGACATGCATGGAAATAATTTGTCAGTCCATGGGACCTGATTACTGAGCTGCCTTAAAATGCCATAATATCTGTTTTGCTGACAGCATCCTTGCTAGAAGAATAAGTAGGGGTAGGTGGCAGCTGGAACCATAATTTAGTAATGGTCTCCCTTCCCCCCTGCCTTTACTTTCATTGTGAATCAGACTGTTGTGGCAGGAGGGAGCTGAAGGGGATGTGGGAATGGGAATGGAGGGGTGGATTCTAGCCTGAAGGGTCCCCTTGGCTTCCAAGGCCAGCTTGCTGAAAATTACATTCGCTATCCTGGGTCAAACTGTCAGGCACCTGGAATTACTTAGGAACTACCACATGTGGCCAGTTTAATTTACGATGCAAATATACTCCTTGGTTCAGTGGGGTATGATAGTTCACGAAGCTGGGTTTGTTTGTTTTTCCCCATTCCTCCAGGTATAAAGAGTGCCTATGCCTTCTGACTAGAATCCAGCTGACTATAAAAATAAGGTCTTCCTGAATAAAATGGGACCACCTTCCACAGTCCTTCAATGCCAAGAAGATTTTTCAAATCCTACCATTCACATGAATCTGTTTGCTCATAGTACAGGATGACTCCACAAACAACTTTAGGACATTTTACAAAGCAAAGTCTTACTAAAATGGAGTATCACTTCAAACTGCTTTTTGCTTTTGAAATACTAAGGACAAAACATATTTATTTAAAAAATTGTATCTTGACCATCACTAGTAAATTCATATTAAATTTATTCTTTTTCCACATTTTACATTTACTATATGGTTATGGCTACATGCAGTACTGTTTTATCTGATAATTTTATCAGGTCAGGTTAGTCCTACAGCCAGTTAATGAAGACATTTAGTCAAATCTTACATAGGTATGGGAGTAAACAGTATGGGCAGACCGGTTGTTGAATCTTGGTTCTGCTTCATGTCAACTGTATCAGAGAGCATTTTATAACCTTTCTGAATTCAAGTCTTCTGACTTGTATCATGGGGACAACACTGTCTACCTCCTACAGGCATGGTGGAAATGAAATTAAATAGCGTACATAGTACCTGGTTCATGGTCCTTAACAAATTGTTGCTGCTGCTGTAGCTGTTTTACTATGATAGTCATTGTTACAGCAAATTGACATGTTTTTGTGTCCATTTGTTTGTCGAAATGGTCTGTGGTCACTGCAGGTGCAGCCTAGAACAAGCTTCCCCATGGGGCCTAGCTGGAAGAACCCATCTTCTGAATATATAAGCTTAATATTTTATTTTATGTACATCGACCTGAAGCTCAGGCTCGAGAACAAATTCCTTTGGAAATAACAGGAAAAAAAGAATGAATCTGATGGGTGGATGTTAGTTCCAAATGGCTTATCTCAGAAACATAGAAATCATGGATGTAAGAAAATTTACGGTATGATATTTAACAGCTATTTATACAACACTCATGGCATGCCAAGCCAAGGGCTTTATAATCACTCCTCAGTCACTGCTGGTCTCCGTCGTGGTGTTAACTTGTCACCCCAGCTCTTGCTCAACACATTTCTGCAGGCCCTGTCTCGCCTGGCAGAGCTGGGCCAACTTTCACACGCAGAAACTGCTGTTTAATCATTTCTCCACTCTCCGAGGAACAGGCAGCCTTTTCTTTAGCTCTGGTTACAAATATTTGAGGGGCCAAATACTAAAAACGGAAGACTTATTTAGTGTGATAGGAGGAAAATGGAATGGAAAGGAGAAATGGAAATTTTAGATGAAAACTAGAGAGAAAATATGATTTTAAGGATCCTTTGTTGTGTAAGATATTGACAAACATTCTGAATGGGGTAGGGAAGAATATCTCAGAGTGTTGCTTAATATACAGCTAACTCAATTATTGGGGGTCCCCAAATATTATTGTAATAATTCATTTTTATTTTGTTCCCCCAAAACTTCCACATAGTTGTCGCTATAAATAACAAAATGGACTAAGTTGCATCTGGCCTTTCTCTTTCTACTAGATGTATAAAAAGAGGACATCAAGAGCCACCATATAGACATACGGTTAGAATAATTAAGAGTTGACTATTTTCCTCAGTTCACAGAAAATCACAGCTCTAGAGTTATAGGCCCTCAGTTTGAATTCTAGATTTGCTGTTAATGTTGTACCCTGAGCAAGTCATTTGACATTGACATTGAGGATTGTGAAGAACAAAATAAATATTCATGTGAAGTGATTGATAAATGGTAAAGCACAATAAAAGTGTTTAACAACAACAATATGATTGAGAGAGGACGTGCCATCCTCAGGAGAAATATCATTATCAGCAACAGAATAATGAACAAAATAAACTGATGAACAAAATAGATACAGAGACATGGAAGCAGGGAACAGACTGACAAACCTCAGAGGGGAGGGGGAGGGGGCAGGAAGAGATAAACCAAAGAACTTAAATGCGTATATGCACAACCAATGGACACCGACAGCAGTGTGGTGAAGGCAGGGCGGGGGGTGGGGGGTGGGGGTGGGGGGAGGTAAAATGGGGACATCTATAATACTTCCCCCCCCTTTATTGAGTTTAGAGAGAGAGGAAGGGAGAGGGGGAAAGATAGAAACATCAATGAAAGAGAACATTGATTGGCTGCCTCTGGCATGCTCCTCACTGGGGATTTGGCCCACAACCTGGGCATGTGCCCTGACCTGGAATCAAACCGGCAAACTCTTGGTGCACAGGTCGATGCTCAAACACTGAGCCACAATGGCTGGGCAATACATTTAACAACAAAGATAAAAAATTTAAAAAAGAACTAATTACCTTTTACATGTTCTAGGTACTGTTTTAAGTATGTTATGCATATTAATTTATTTAATTATCATAACTATGTAGTGGGTACATTATTTCCATTTTGCAGAAAAGAAAGCTGACTCAAATAGAGACATTAAGGGTCCAAGTTCATAAAGCTAGTAAGAGAAAGAAGATTCAAATCAGAACCCAATCTACACTATATTTTCTCTCTCATGAAGAAAGAGATGATTCCTCAGTTTAGAGAGAATCTGTCTTTTGAACATCAGATCGCAGTTAAAGGATTGTTTTTATCATTGTATTTTCAAAGCCCATTTATACAGAGATGTTCCTCAACTTATGGTGGGGTTACGTCCTCATAGACCCATAGCAAGTTGAAAATATTGTAAGTTGGAAATACATTTAATATATTTAACGTAGTGAGCGCCATAGCCTAGGCTAGCCCACCAAAAACGTGCTCAGAATGCACTCACTGTCCAGAAACCACTGGCAACACAGTACACTGCAGAGTATCGGTCGTTTGCCTCGTTCTCCTGCCTGGGAGCTGTGCTCAGTGCTGCCCAGCATCAGAGAGGGCTGTACTGTGTATCGCTGGCCTGGGGGAAGACCGAAATTCAAAATTTGTGGTATAGTTTCTACTGGATGCATATCGCTTTCACATCATTGTAAGGTTTAACCAGTGTCAATTGGGCACCCTCTGTATAGTTTAAGAGCATAAAAGACAGCCCTGGTCAAGGCATTTCAAGAGATAAGATAGAACCACTTCTTTTGAGATATCAGAGAACATATATTTCAGATGTTTACATCTGTTCCTTAGCCCTCAGTTTCAGCATGCTCCAGAGTAACTCATCTTTCCTTACCCTCAAAGTCCTTTTCTTTTCTAGTCTTTCCATATTGTTCCGAGGCATGACCATACTACTTACTACTCCAGGCCCGAGGGTCAGCCCAGCTCCACCTCTTCTTCATCCCCGACATTCAATATTCTCAAGAGCTATGAATCTACTCTGAATCCACTTCCCTTCCCTCTTTCTCTAATGCTAATTTCTTAGTTTGGATCTCACCATTTATCATGGATTATGGCCATAGGATGATACCTGACTCAGTCACCTCCAGTATTGCCCCTCCATGTTGCTTAAAATTTTTATCTGCCTCCATCCAGCCTTCATGATCCCATCCATTCTTAGCCGTCTAGTTTCAGTTCTCTGGGCTTACACTGCTGTTTTAGTCACGCTGGAAAATTTGCAGGTTCCTTGAGCAGGTACTACTGTTTCTGACCCCCATACCTTTGCACATGCTATTCTCTGTGTAGGAAAACCTCCCTACCGTTCCCAGCTCCTTTAGGATCATTCTGGAAATCTCTCTGGCCCCTACTAGAAACTCCTGGGGCATAAGATCAACTAATAATACTTACCATTTTGATTGAGGATGATTTTGTTAGAATTTCTAAGTTTAACTTTCTAAAAACAATTTTTGGAGTTATTTATGATCAGAAAACTTTGGTTTTTCTCTTTTATAACATAACAATTGACTTCATTTAAAAATGTAAAAACAGCCCTGGCCAGTTTGGCTCAGCGGTTGGAGCATTGGCCTGTGGACCAGCGAGTCCCAGTTTCGGTTCCCACTAGGGGCATGTACCCCCCAAAAAAGTAGAAACATTTTTCTGTGAATAAGAATAAAAGAAGAAAACCACTTTCCTAGATTCAGTTGTATCAAAGGTGTTTTCTTTTCCAGGAGAAGAGCTTTATTTTTCATTTTTCTTTCAACCTTTTAACTCTAAACAACCTTTTAACTCTAAATGTGGATTGATATATTTTCATTTACAGAGAGATCATCTAAATCATATGCATATCATCACTTATTCAGAAATGGAAAAAACATTGACACATTAATACTTGGATACATTTACCATGCATGAAGTCTATGAATAGAATTAAAGTCATTAAATTAATAGTACATGACTGAGTTGAACCAAATGTTTTAGAATCAAGCATTTGTTGTCTGCTAATTTATTTATTTGGCAGTTGCTATCTTTCCTTGGATATAACTTTTAAAATACCAGCTAATGATTATTAAGCCTGGGAAAATAATCCATTAATTGCAATTTTGGGTCCCAAATATGGAACTAACTCCTCCTTGTTTAATTTATTTATGATATGGCCTATAAAGAAAAAGGACAGAGAAAAACATTATTTTCATTTAACATAAAATGTTCAGACAAATATAAAAGTCCTGTTTCAAAGTACTGAGTTGAAGTGTCCATGAGAATATTGAGGTAGGTACAGCATCTTTCAACATGATGCTTTGTTGAGGTATTCAGTGTTATTTATCAGAGGCTGCTGTTTTAACTAGAACACAGAAGAACTTTATTTATTACCATTTTTCTTCATTTAGCATTACCATTTTCTATGGTTATGGGATTATGAAAAGAACAAGTGGCAATTTCCAAGTCTATTTGCACTGGTTTGAGTAATCCTTGGATGGTAGGCTTCTTTTCTGCTGAACAACTGTTTAATTTTTTTTTTCTTTATTGATATTTTGAGAGAGAAGAAGGGAGAGGGAGAGATAGAAACATTGATGAGAGAGAACATTGATTGGCTGCCTCCTGCATGCCCCCCACTGGGGATTTGGCCCACAACCTGGGCATGTGCCCTGACTGGAAATCGAACCAGCAACCTCTTGGTGCCTGGGTTGATGCTCAACCACTGAGCCACACTGGCCGGGCCTGGACAACTGTTTAATCTGTCATTACTAAAGAACGTGAGATTGCTTTCTGAAATTTTTTCCTTAGGCTCTTAAATTTTAAATGTATTCCATTAAAGTGCAATACATCTATCTATCGAGGAGATGTGTTTGGTTCTTTTGGTCACTAAGAGATATGTTTTGGGCAAATGCCTATCATATGCATGGGCTTTATTGTGTAGGATGGTCATAATTCACACATGGAAACTCAAAAGTTTTATTTATTAAATCTTGGAATTTTATGTACAGTTGAGGATTCATAAGAAATATATTTTAATCACATGAAAGAATAGATCTTATCTATATTTGACCCATAAATGATAGATACTAATAAGAATTATTAGTATGACTAATGACTAATAAGAATATATTTCTGCCCAGCCGATGTGGCTCAGTGGTTGAGAGTCGACCCATGCACCAAGAGGTTGCCAGTTTGATTCCCTATCAGGGCACATGCCCAGGTTGCACAAATCCCCAGTGGGGGCGTGCAGGAGGCGGCCAGTCCATGTTCTCTCTCATTGGTGTTTCTATCTCTCTCTCCCTCCCCCTTCGTCTCTCTCTCAAATCAATAAAGAAAAAAAACAAAAAAAGAATATCCTTTCTTGAGACACCTGAATTCTTTTTTTTCAGATACATGACTTCTAGGCTGATTATTAATAGGAAAAGTCACAGTAATAAGCATCATGAAGTCACATCATTTTTTAGTCTTTATTATTATTATTATTTTTGTCTTTATTGTTGTAAGTATTTGATGTTCTCCCTTTTATCCCCACACTGTTGTCTGTGTCCATTGGTTATGCATTCTTATCTAAATCATACCTGTGACTGAATTAGATTTTTATATGGGAATTCTTGAAATAATAATGAATATGTTACGATTCTTACTTTATCACCTTTCAGATTTTCCTATGGATTCTAGTAATGGAAACTGTAGAGGGGCAAGCAGTGGTGAGTACGGCACTATCTTCCTGGTTTTCATTTGTAGTCAGATTAATCTTTGATGTAATCTAGACACTCAAGTCTTATTTGGGAACATTTGTGCCCTACATTTTAAAGTAGGCTTATAGCAATTATTTTATATTTATATTAATTTTATTTTTAAAATCAGCATATAATAAAATCGACCTTTTCTTTTGGTCATTAAAATTTCTATAAATTGTATGAATTCTATAAATTTTAATGCATGTACAGACTTGTGTAACCACTTACAATCAGTATACAGAACAGTTCTATCACTTCAATAAAAACTTCATCATGCTATCTCTTTATAATTATAAGCTTCTCTCACACTAACCATGGTGGTCACTGATCTATTCCCCATTCCTTTAGTTTTGTCTTTCTGAGATTGTCATATAAATGGAATGATAGAATATGTACCCTTTTGAGATTGGCTTTTTTTACTCAGAATATGCCTTTGAGATTTATCCAAGTTGTTGCATATATCAATATAGTCCATTTGTTTTAATTGCTGAATTTTTATTTCTTGGATATGTTACCATTTGTTTAACCATTCATAACTTTAAGAATATTTGGGTTGTTTCTAGTTTTTGCCAGTTATGGATAGAACTATGGTAAACATTTGTGTGCAGGTTTTTGTATGAACATAAGTTTTTATTCCTTTAGAGTAAATATCTAGGGAGAGAATTAATGGTTACATGGGGAGGGTATGTTTAATTTTGTAAAAAACTGCCAAACTGTTTCCAAAATTGCTGTTCAGTTTTGCACTAGCCATGTGTAAGAGTTTTAGTTGCTCTGCATCCATGTAGACTCTTGATATTATCAGTTTTTTTTTTTTTTTTTAAAAAGAGCCATTTTAGTAAGTGTGTAGTGATAGCTCATCATGGTTTTACTTGGTATTTCCCTAGCAGACAATGATGTTGACTATCTTTTCATGGGCTTCCTATTTACATACATCCTTTTTGGTAAAGTGTCTGTTCAAGTCTTTTGCCCATTTTAAATTGCGTTGTTTTTTTTCTTTGAGTTTTGAAAATTCTTCATATATCCTGGATATAAAGAACCATCTTTCGGTTTCACTGTTTTTCTGTTTTCAGTTTTATTGATTGCTACTCTTTCTTCTGCTTGCTTTGGATTTATTTTGCTGCTTTTTCTCCCTTGAGGTAAAAGCTTAGATTATGATTTGAGACTCTTCTTTTCTAATATAATAATTTAATGCTATCAGTGTCCATCTAAGATGGCTTTAGTTGCATGCCAACATTTTTGATAAGTTTTATTTTTATATTTTTCTTCAGTTCAAAATATATTATAATTTCCCTTGAGGCTACCTCTTTGACTCATGCATTATTTAGGATTCTGCTGTTAAATTTACTGCTGTTTGGAGATTTTTGTTTGCTTTATGTTATTAGTTTGGTTGTGGGTTTTTTTTCCTCTGATTTTATTGTGGTAAGAGAACATGCTTTGTATAATTTCAGTTCTTTTAAATGTATTAAGGTTTATTTTATGACATAGAGTGTGAACTATCTTGGTGAATGTTTCATGTGCACTTTGGAGAAATATCTATTCTGTAAGTCATTGGGTGGAATGTTCTTTAAATGTTCATTAGCTTAGTTGATTGATTATATTCTTGCCCAATATTTGTCTAGTAGATCTATTGATCACTGAGAAGATTGTTTAAGTCTCCAAATACTGTGAACTTTCAAGATTTCTCTTTTCTGCCTGGCTGGTGTGGCTCAGTAGATGAGCGTCATCCCATGGACTGAGAGGTCCTGGTTCTATTTCTGGTCAGGGCACATGCCTAGATTGCAGTTTCGATCCCCAGTAGGGGGTATGCAGGAGGCAGTCAATTGATTTTTCTCTCTCACATCAGTATTTCTCTCTCTAAAAAAAAAAGTCAATAAAAACACATTTTAAAAAATGTTCTCTTTTCAGTTCTGTCAGTTTTGTTTCATGTATTCTGAAACTCTATAATTTTGGTGCAAGCACATTTAATATTTGTATGTCTTATTGGTGCATTGACCCATCATGATGTAATGTCATGTTTTATCTCTTGTAATTTTCTCTGCTATAAAGATTACTTTCTTTGATATTAATGTAGCCACCCCAGTGTTTGCAAGGTGTATCTTTTTCTATCTTTTTACATTTAACCTATATATTGTTATGCTTAAAATAAATTTCCTGTAGACATCATATAGTTGGGTCATGTTTTTTTATTGGCATTTTTTTAATCCATTCTACTAATCTTTGTCTTTTGCTTGGTGTGTTTAGACAATTTACATCTAATGTAATTATTATTATGCTTGTATTTAGAACTACCATTTTATTATTATTTTTTTGTTTCTTCTCTTTCTCATTCTTGTTTCCTATTTCCCGCTTTCTTTTGGATTATGTGAATCTTAATCTCTCTCCCTCTCTCTCTCATGTGTCTATGATATATATTCCCATAAGATAATGTTCTATATATATTTTCAACCATTAATGTTTCTTTCAAACATTATGTTTTAAACAACTCAGGAGAAGAATAGTCTACTGAATTTACACAGATGTTTATAATTTCTATTGTTCTTTCCTAATGTTTCAGGCCTTCATTCTGGTATCATTTCCCTTCTATCTGAAGAACTTCTTTTAGAGCAGTTCTAGTGGCAACACATTTTATTTTCTTTCTTCTGAAAATGTCTTTATTTTACTTTCATTCCTGAAGGATATTTTCATTGGATGTAGAATTCTGTGTTGACAGTTCATTCACTGTTTAAAAAGTGTTATTCCACTTACTTCTGTCTTCAGTGTTGCTCATGGGAAATTGGTAGTCATTCATATCATTAACCTTGTATATAATGCATCAGTTTTTCTTATTGCTTTTAAGATTTTTTATTCTTAGTTTTTAGCAATTTGATTAGGATATGCCTGGATATTGATTTCTTTGGGTTTATCCTGTTTAGGGTTCACTGAGCTTCTTGAATCTATAAGTTTATACCTTTTGTCAAATTTGGAAAGCTTTCAGCAATTATTTCTTCAAATGTTTATTTTTATACCACATTCTCTTCTTCTTCTATGATGATATAAATGTTAGTGCTTTTGGTATTGTCCCACAGACCCCAGAGGCTCTGTTCACTCCCCCTCCTCAATCTTTTTCTTCCTCTAGATTAGATACAGTAATTTCTATTGGTTTGTCTTCAAATTCATTGACTCTTTTCTAGGTCATCTCCATTCTACTATTGAGCCCATTCAGGGAATTTTTAATTTCAGTTATTGCAATTTTTAAAATTAAAATTTCCATTTGGATCTTTATTATATCCTGTATTTATTTGTTAAAACTTTCTATTTTTTCATTCATTTCAAGAGTGTTCACCATAACTTTTGGGAGAATATTTATAAAGGCTACCTTAAAGTTATTGTTGGATAACTTCAACATTTATGTCTTGTAATTGTTTTTTTCCCCATACAACTTGAGATTTTCCTGGTTCTTCATATGAAGAATAATTTTTTAATCTATCCTGAACATTTGGAATATCATGTTCTAAGAATTTGGGTCTTATTTAAAGTCCTCTGGAGAATGAATATTTCTGTTTTATCAGGAGTCAGTTTAGTTGGGTTTAGGCTGACTAGTCTTCTATGGGTTGTGATTTCAATATCAGTTCTATTTCTGAAGCCTCTTCAGTGCCTTTCAGATATATTCCATGTGTATACTGCCCAGTGCCCAGTGAAATCGAGGCCGTAATCTATTCCATAGTTCAGTTTTCAAAGCTGTGGTGTAGTGCTTAGTATGAGATTCACATGTAACCAAGGGTGAGCTCAACAGTTCATAAACAATTTTATGGGATTTTCCCCAAACTTCTCCCTCTTTGCGATCTTCTGAGTACTTTTCAGTTCCTTGGGGGTTCTCCTTTTTGGTCCTGTGGCCAGAAAGCTGAGGTTCAGGCTCATCCCTCCCTGTGATGTACTTCCTGTGACTGCTCCTGCAGCTGAGGTTAAGTGGTGGGAGGACAAAGCCATCTGGGTTTGCTGCAGTCTCTTGATTCCACACATCCAATCAGAAACGACGGTTTTCCTATATGAAGAGTTTAGGCTTCTGAGGGCCTCCCTGCTGCAGGTGTTGCTGCCACCGCTGTCCCAGGATTGCTTGAGGAACAGGGTACAAGAGAATGGAGTGTTAGGGGACCCTTTCCCACTTCTTGAATTAGAACTAGAGGGCTTCTCCTGAAGCAATTTCGGCATTAAGCCCACTTCTCAGTTATGGGTTGTGTTGAAATCCATCTGGGAGATACCAAAGGGGAAAAAAATGTTGAACCCAACTCCAGTTTGATGATACTGGTCTTCTTCCCAGTCTTCCTGCTGCTATTTACTTTTCAGAGTCCTTAAGTAGCTGCTTCATGCATTCTATTTAGGTTTAGAATTTATTCAGTGGGAAAGACATGATGGAGTCTACTTACTTCATCTTATCATAAAATAAACTTTCAAATGAACTATGACATATATGCAGAAAAGATCACAAATCATATGCAGCTCAGTGCCTTTTCACGAAGTAAATACTCTTCTGTAACCACCACACAGGTCAAGATGTGTGTATTACCGGCACTCCAGAAGCCTGCCTGTGCCTCTGCCAAACCCTTCCTCCCATTCTTCTTCCCCAGAATAACTGCTGGCAGGAATTCTAACAGGATGCATTCATTTCACCTGATTTTGAACTGTTGTCAGTGGCATCCTACAGTATACATGTAATTTGTGTGGGTATGTGTTTATGGCTTCCTTTGCTCACTATTATGTTGTGTATAGCAGTACTTTCAAATTTTCATTGTGTTCTATCTTATGACTATATGTCACTCTATTCATTCTAATGTTCCTGGATTCTTGGTAATTAAGCACTAAGACATTTTATTTTATTTATTTATTATTATTTTTTTAATTCTCACCCAAGGACATTTTTCCACTTTTGTTCAGATAGAGTGGGAGGGAGAGAGAGAAACATCAACATGAAAGGGACACATGGAGTGGCT